TCCCAGCGGGCAACTGCTCGCGGAAGAGCCCTCGCCACGGCACGTCAGGAGGCATCTTTACGAACTGACAGACGAAGTCCAGAGGTATATCAAACAACCTCTGGACCCGTCAACTTAACGACAGGCCCTGAACGGCATTCACAGGGAATCAGTCTCAAGTTATGTAGACTCCCGCCCTGTGAATGCCGTTCTAGGCACACAACCACCGGACGTGGACGGGACAGAACTTTGTCTGCCTCGGGAGACCCGCACTACAATAGCCCAACTTCGCTCTGGCTATTGCAGCAGGCTCAACAGCTACCTGAGCAGAATCAACGAGGATGTGCCCAACACCAATGCCCGGCATGTGGAGAGTCGCCACATGACTCCCGGCACCTCTTCACATGCCCTGAGAATCCCACTCAGCTAACGCCCCTGTCCCTATGGACAGCCCCTCTGGAAGTAGCACACTTCCTGGGCCTCCCCCTAGCTGAAATAGACGACAACGTTGATGGATGAACCGCCCCGAACGGGGCTTAGTAGCCGCTACAACAACAACAACAACAGACAATACAGTAGAAAAGATAGATACACGAAGATTTATCCTACGTCACTTACGGCATAAAAGTACGCAGAAATGGCACAACTACAGCCATCATCACTACACTAACATAAACCGTGAACTTAAAACCCCAATTTATCCTACAACAATTTCTAAAGTGCACATTCAAATGTTCTGGCGTCTCCGTCTTGGTCACACGCGTTGCACCCACGAACACCCTCTATTGGGTAACCCAACACCATCCTGCCCACGCTGCCAATTGGATTTAACTTTAAAACACATATTCTTCGAGTGCACTTCTCTTGAAGGAACTAGACGCCGGTACTTCAAACACAACTGGGTCGAACTACTTAGTAATCCCACAAAGGACAACATAAATTCCATCATCAAGTTTTATCAAAGCCATCCAAGCACCTATATATCAGCCGTCTCTGTAAAATTCTCTCATATATTTTCATTTTTCTTTTTCTATAACTCTGTTACAGTTAAGTAGAGCTGATAGCCTTGGCAGTTAATGCTCAAAATTTATATTAACTTGTTAATTTATTTAATATTGTTAATAAATAATAATAATAATAATAATAATATAATATAATATAATATGTTACGCTGATAGCGACATGAACAAATTATGAAGCATCAAAAATCCCAGTATCCGTCAAAAAGTTGTTTATTGAAACCATGATTCAATAATAAAAGGTTTGCTCAGAAAACAGTAAAAAAAAAAACAGACAAAATCGGCCCCCTTAGCAAGGCACTGTGTGCGGGTTCGTGTGTGTGTGCAAAGCTTTTGTAAGGGAGTTAAGGGAGTGTCAAAACTTGAAATTTTCCTATTTCCTATAGAAAAATTTCAAGTTTTCGATTCGTACGAAAACCAGAATACGCCTCATTGAATCATGTATTGAAACTACATATCTTCTTTTCAAATCTAAAAAATAGGTACACTTTAAAAAAGTCTAATTTTTTATTTTGTGGGCACACCTATGTTTTGTATATGATTCTATTCGTAATCTCTTAATAAAACGATAAATGTAATTGTAATTCATTTTCATCAAGTGCTTCAAAAGTTAGACAAGGAATAACCATTTAGATCGCTGAAATAGAAAACAAAAGAATAAGTTGGGTTCAAATTACGCTGTGCAAGTTGTAAATTTGAGAAAAAATTTTGATTGATTTTACCAGATTGGCTTCTCCACCTCAGTTTTGAAGCTATTTTACTAAATTTTTGCACATGACTATGAATTATATCCACAAGCGACCAGCTTTATACAGTTTACAACAATGAAAATAAAGCTAAATAACACAAAGGGTACCTGTTTTTTTAGATTTGCCCATATACGTACATATGTGCACATTAGGGTGGTCCAAAAATACATGTGAAAAAGTAAACTCGGAATTTTAATGCTCTCGCCCCCTAGGATTGTTCTATACCGAAAAAAATACCCCTTTTTTTAATTTTAATATTAATAATAATAGATTGGCGCTTTACACATACGTTAGTGTTTGGCCGAGCTTCTCCTCCGAATTGTGGCGTGCGCCTTGATGTTGTCACACAAAGCGGAGGGACCTACAGTTTTACGCCGACTCCGAACGGCTATTGTATTTTTATGAGAAGCTGTTTTTCATGGCAGAAAAACACTCTGAGGTTTGCCATTGCCTGCCGAGGGACGACCGCTGTTAAGAAAAAACCTCTTTTCTATATTTTTTTGCGATGTTGCTTTGACCAGGGTTTGAACCCAGGTGCTGCGGAGTGGAAGCGCGCACTGCTTACCACTACACCACAGCGGCCGAAATCAAAAAATATTTAGAGGTCGCTCAAAGCAAAGTTTTCCATGTAATAAAATACAAAATATAATATAAAAAAATGAGAAAAAACACTTTTCGTAGAAATGGTATAAAGTTCTTCAAAGTCAATATTTTTCGATCCGAAAACTCTGTTTTTCTTCAGGATATTCCCAATAATAATACCCAATTATTTATTTAACCCTTTTTTATAGTACATAACTATATTTTATAGGTCTGCCCAGAAAATACAAACTTTACTAATTTTGGACCACCCTAATGTGCATACATATGTATGGATATTTCACAAGATTATACCATATTTTTATAAAATAGAATTTCTCTTTTTTATATCCATTGTACATACCCTAAAAATCCGCCTTAAATGGTTCATCTATGAGGCAAATTTTTGTATTGAAACTGTAGGACTCATTTCAGACTCATATATTCGGAGCGCTCAGAATATGTTTGCAGGGAATTGATTATACTTTGCGTTTTCACACAAAATTACATTTAGAAGTAATTATCTACATTATTAGACGTGCGATATATATATTACATACATGTGTACATATATACATATATGTAACATTTTAGGACTGTTTGTACACGTTGTGAGACCTATCGTCCACCACGCGCTCACCACTGTCGCATTTGCAAGCGCTGCATACGACGTATGGACCATCATTGTCCCTGGATTAATAACTGTGTAGGCGAGAGAAATCAGAAATTTTTTCTTCAATTTCTTTTCTATGTCGGCATACTCTGCATTTATTCTGTTTCAATGGTGGCCTACAGTTTTATATATCCTTGCTCGATTTGCAATGTATCTACTCTGGAAACGCAAACAAGAATGTAAAAGTATACTTAAATATATTAAGTTAACAAATAAAAACATTTATATATTTATGTAAATATATATTTGCAGGCTTCACAGTATTATTCTGCTTTTGGAATCTGCTCTATTTGGTCTTTTCGTCTTGGCTATAATGGTCGATCAGATGCACGCTATACTGCACGATGAAACGGCAGTAGAAGTGGTACAAATGAAAGGTAAAAGCGCCCTACGTCCAAACCGGCGGAAAATTCATTTATTTGCTGAAGTGTTCGGACGAGGCAATCCGCTTTGTTGGCTTATACCGTGCACTAGCTTCAATTCATCTCTGCGGTATTATGATACACCGTTGTTAACGAGCTATGACGTCTAAAATAAATGATTTTGGTGATTGCAAACCAACTTCATTTTAGTTTATTTTTTTATTTTTGAATTTCACATACAGTTAGTTAATTGTACAACAAAAACCTCAATAATCAGAGTTCAAAACCTAGTGAAAAATTAAAGAAAATTCTGCAAATTTTCACTAAAATATTGCACTTTTTTATTATACTCTTTAGAAAAAATTTGAGTATGCAGTTTTTAGCCTATTGAATCTTAGTACAATAAAGTGCAAGTCGTCGGAAGCTTGGACTTACTATTGATTTTTGGCAAATTTATTTTGAGGTTTCGCTCACTTTCTCCATATACAAAATGATCTAACATTATTTTATGGAGAAAATTAGTGACATTTTTTCTAAACATTGTTATTAAAAAGTGCAAAACTTTAATGAAAAATTGTAGAAATTTCACACATGGTTTGGAACTTGATTTTTTTTAGTTTTTGTTGTAGAATTAACCATATGTTTATAAAAAAATTGGCGAAAAGTAAAATATTTAAAAAATAGTTGCCCGTATTGCAAAAAACTCGCTGTACCTAAACTTTATTTACTGATGTATGTTAACGACAATTTGACAAATTTTGGCTATTTTTCTTTTGTTTGTTTAATGTTTATTATTTTTTTACTAAAATCCATCTCAGTATCTAACAAAAACCATATAGGTACAGATTTTAAACTTCGTAAAAAAATTTGAAAAATTCAACAAAATTTTGCAACAACGGATTTTAAGAAAAATTCTAAGAATGGACGAACTTCTACGGATTTTCACTGATAATGGCATCAGCTGTCAAGGCTATGCGGATGACATTGTGATTATTGATAGAGGGAAGTTCGTGAGCACTCTATGTGATATTTGATGTCTTCCATTCCAATCTTTTGCGTAAATTTTTATTTAAAATATAGCTCATTCAATAACAAGAAAGAAATGGCTATCAAAGTTTTAAACTTTTTAATCTTTTTTGAATATCTTTGAGTATGCAGTTTTGTAGCCCATTCAATTTCAATGTAATAAAGTGCAAGTGTTAAATGGCTATGACTTACCGTTGGGTTACAACAATTCTTTTCGCTCATGGTGTCGCTCGTTTTCTTCCATCTGATTAAAATGTTAGATGTTTAATGGCCATTTTTTTAATTCGCTGAATTTTTGCGAATTTTGTAAAAAGTTTGGAACATTGATTTATATGGTTTTTGTTATACATAGAATGAGCCATACTTTTAATAAAAATTAGCGAAAAAGATTTATAATGGAAAGGGTTTTGAATATCGAGAAAAAAATTAAACCAATACTTCTCTCAGTAACTCTCCGTATTGCATTATTACTTAGACCACTTAGGACAATGAAATGTTCTTGATACAAAATATTTTAAGTCTCTTAATTTAGAATACGTATAATAATCTTTATTTTTATTATGCATTCGTGTAAGAGAGATTTGCAGTAGAACACTGCATTTAGACAGCTTAGAAGAGAAAATACACAACCGATTTGTTTGAGAATACTTTTTGTTATTTCGTTTCAAAATAAATACCACTTAACTACAGACAACCGGTATTGTTTACTAGTAAGCGGTTTAAATTTTGTAAATTACACGAATCGACACCACTTACGCGCTTATACGTCAGTGTAGCTTTTCGGAGCTTAGTATAACATTGTTGGACGAAGAGTCCATTGGGTTTTATTAACACGCTTATTCTAGAACCCGAATTTTCGTAATTCGTTGCGTAATCCACGTGCGCAACCCTTGCGGAAACATNTGCCAAATTAAATGGCGGCTGCTTAGTTTGCTCGGAGGTGGTTATGTCGAGTTTGGCACAGGGTTGCACGTTCATTATGGTTTTCATGCCTATTGCCAACACGAAATGAGAATTTCAGATGTACATAACGCACACAATTAATATATTTTTTATGATATCGTATAGGCAATTAACTGTGCCCTAATCTTTGAAGCTCCTACAGCATAAATTCAGTTCTCTGGTTTTCGGTATCACGGCAATTTTTGTGTGTAGCAACAATTGTCTAAAATTTTTGTATATGACAACACCGAATTTGCTGGAGTTTGACCAAACAAAATTAGTTTGCTGTGAGAGTCGCCAAACTCGCTCTCCCCGAGTTTGCTGCAACAACAATTGCACGCAGTTTGCCAAACAAAATTTCTGCATAACACCGACCTTATTAGTATACTGTTTTCTTACATTCAGCGACAATTTTTCAAGCGGTTAACACCAATTAAAGAAACGTTCCATAAAAGCGAACTATATTTTCTCAAATAAAAAGTCTACTATTTTATTTCGCATATCATTTACCTATTGGCTTAATCTGCGCTATTCTCAATAATCTACAACAGGTTATGGACCAAGAAGCTTCCAATTAATAAATTAACATCAGATCACGTCGTCGAGCCGTACTAGGTGTATGCACAACTTTGTTTTCATCAAGTCGTCTCGTCATAGCGTACATGGAAAAGTTTTTGCATCGAAATAAATTTAGACTGAGTATACAGAGTTTTGAAAACAAAAAAAAAAACAATAGTGGTGGAAAATTAATTTAAATCTTCGCCGTAAAACAACAGGTGTATTTCACAATTGTGTGCAATATTCGCAAGTCACGGTTACCCGATACGTCCAGTTATCGTACGGTATACACTAAAAGTATATTCGATCGCCGTCATCGAATTACAAGAAAAGCAAGACGAAACAGTGGATTCCAAGAAAAACGAAAATATGGTCGTATATTTATTTCAAATATTTTGCCTTGAATTTCTTATTTAAAAATGGATTCTTTTGCAGGGAAAAGAGAGGAAACTAACTTCGTCGGACATGGTTCAAATTATAGGCTATGGAAATTTCAAATAACCGCGTACATTAGCGCACGTGGTCTAACCGACAATATACAAGGAAAAGTACCAGCACAAGACGCTCCAGACCTGGAGAAAGAGCAATATGAGCGAAATGAAGGAAAATCAATGAACGCTATAATTCAATCAATAGACACAGTGCGTGCAAATCTTGTATTGGCATGCAACACGCAAAAGAAATGATGGAAAAGTTAAGCAGTGTCTACGAAAAGAATTCCGCAATTCGCATAATGACACTTTACGAAGAATATTTCTCGCTCAAAATGGCGGATGATGAAACCCGTCGCCGGATACTTTGCCAAAGTGAACCAGTTGGCATCTGAAATCGAGCAGCAAGGCGAGAAATTGTCGAACACGTTGAAAATGGTGCGTATAATTAGCAGTCTGCCGGTTAAATTCAACAACTGCAAAACGGGTTGGTATAATACCAAAGACACCCGCACACTTGATACGTTGATGTCATCACTGCAGTTAGAAGAGGACAATTTAAACCGCATTAGCGGAGAACAAGTCTCCACATCAGATGCAGCATTTGCAGCAATGTATAAACGAAAAACTGAATTGAAACCAAAATCAAAATTTAACATAAACGATTTAAAAAAGAAAACCAAATGCAATGCATGTGGCCAGACCGGAAATTGGGCAAAGGACAAAAAATTTCCAAATTTCCTGCCGAAGCGGCTGTTCTTGCCGATGAGCGTGACAGCCTTCGTCAGGCCGATCCCGGAGATCCCCGTATCAGGGATCTCAACACGGAGATTCGGCAACTAGTGAACGTACATAAGCGGAAGAAGTGGGAAGAACATCTGAAGACCTGTAACTTCACCTCTGGTGTGAGTAAGCTTTGGTCAACTGTGAGGTCACTGTCCAACCCGACGAAGCACGACGACAGAGTCGAAATTTCTTTCGGCGACTATGCCTCGTCGGACCCGGAGCGATGCGCGAGTTACTTTAGCCGGCAGTTCATACTGCATCCTCCGGTGGACAAAACCAAGCGTCGAGTGACCAGAAGGCTGCACAAACTGCCAACAAATTGTGCCCCCCTTTTTTTTCACTTGCGGTGAAGTTCAGGTGGCCATCGGGAAGGCGAAATCCTCCAAAGCCATCGGTCCCGACGGAATATGCATACTGATGCTGAAAAATTTGGGTCCTGCGGGAGTAGCGTACCTAACGGAGGTCCTCAATTCGTCTATGGCCACTCTCATCATCCCAGACATCTGGAAGGTGGGGAAAGTGGTCCCACTGCTCAAACCAGGCAAACTGCAACAAGGAGATTCGTATCGACCGATAACACCCCTTCCCCGGTAGCGAAGACACTTGAGGCCCTGCTGCTCCCGTATTTCACGAACCACCTGACTGATCCCAGCGAAGCATCAGCATGGTTTCCGTAAAGTGCACAGTACAACAACAGCACAACGCCGTAAACACTCAGATAACTTGGCCTTAACCGTAACCGTCCCTGTGAGAGAACGATTGTAGTAGCGTTGGACCTGTCAAAAGCTTTTGAGACTGTCAGCCATTCCACGCTACTAGAAGATATAGAGGCTTCCTCTCTCCCACAGAGGCTCAAACGGTGGTCGGCAAATTATCTTAGTGGTCGACACTCGTCGGTAATGTTTAGATACAAATCGAGCAAACTTAGAAAAATAAAACAGGGGAGGGGGTTCCACAGGGTGGTGTCCTTTCCCCGCTACTGTTCAACTTTTATATTTCAAAGCTCCCTCAACCACTAGAGGGAGTCTCGATTGTCTCCTATGCCGACGATTGTTCGATCATGGCGACTGGGAATGGAATTGATGGCCTGTGTTCGAAAGTAAACGGATATCTCTCCGATCTTTCTCGCTTCTTCACAGCAAAGTGTCTAGCTCTATCCCCTACGAAATCCTCTGCGACCTTGTTCACCACCTGCACGAAGGAGGTCAGGCTACCGCTGGGAATCCACGTCGATGATACACCAATTCCGACGGTGAATAACCCCAAAATACTCGGAGTAACATCCGGCAGCCTGCTCTCCTTCTCTGCGCACGCAACCGCTATTGTCAACAAAGTACAGAACCGTAACAAAGTCCTCAAGTCGCTAGCCGGCAGTACTTGGGGCAAAGACAAAGAAACGTTGCTGGCAACATACAAGGCAATAGGCCGGCCGGTTTTAAACTACGCAGCACCAGTGTGGTCGCCGGGGACTAGTAGGACGCAGTGGCCGAAGCT